TTTTTTTTTTTTTTTTTTTTTTTTTTTTTTTGTAGTACTGGGGATTGAACCAAGGGCCTTTGCACTGAATTATATCCCTAATCCCTTTTTTACTTAGAGCTAAGATCTCGCTAAGTTGCCCAGGCTGGGCTCAAACTTGTTGATACTGTTCAGCCTCTCAGAGTGTACCACCATTGCTGGCTAACTTGGCACTCTTAACTGCAAAGTCAAAGCACCTGGCTGTCATATACCGGGAAAAATAGTTATCATTTGTCATCTGGGTCCAGTGGGCCTCATACTTTTACATGCACCTGTAGGTCATTTTACAGATACTTTGCAGAGGTAAAAATAAGGGGTAGTGAAAAACAATCATATTAGTAGTCATAAAGCTTACACATAACAAATTCAAATGTTTATTTATTTTTCTGGTTTTCAGGTTACTGTATATGATGCCTGAAATGGACAGCATTCTTTGAGTGTAGTTGACTGTATCAGTTATCGTGTGTGAACCTGGAACATAACTGTCTGGTAATGATCAATTCTGTATTATATCTCTAGGGGCTGGGAATGTAGCTTAGTGGTAGAATGCTTGCAAAGCGTGTGTAAACCCTAGGTCTAATTGCTTCTCAGCCTTTTGGCTAAGATCAAGTGTAAGCCCTAGGTTTAATCCCTAGCACCATGAATAGAAAAAGCACGTGACTATCTCTTATCAACCTCAGTTTATTTCTTCTGGTTCTTCTTGAACTTGCTACACTTTGTGTATTCTGGGGAGTGTTTAAAATTTAAATCACATAAAATTTACCATTGTAACCATTTTTGGTATGCAGTTCAGGGGCACTAAGTACACTGATATTGTTGAATCACTCTCATCGCTACCACCACCATACATCTCCAGAGCTTACTCCAGCTTCCCAATTCCAATACATTTTGTTTTTTTCTGGTACTGGGGATAGAACTCAGGACCTTGTGCTTGACAGGCGGCATGGCACCCCTGAGCTATATCTCCAGCCTTTCCAGTACTTTTGAGCACACTGATAGCTCATAATTATTTGGAATAGAGAATAGCTATCATTTTTGCTCCATACATAAGTTTCATTTTTTCAATTTATAAATACCAATAGAATTAGTCCAGTAGCTTTTCATTTTTATGTTATGTTTCCTTTCATTCACCTTTGTACACTCCAGCATTTGTCTAAATATGAACTGTATCATAAAAGAGCAAAGAATACCTCATATGTCTCTTTTGCAAAATAGGTACATTGCAAAATAATGAATGATGGCCTTATTAAAAAACTAAATAAGACTGTCATTTCTTTTTTGTGTTAGAAATATTCACTCTTGAAGACCCTTGTTAATTTATTGAAGAGAAATTCAGTAATAAAAGTGTTTTAAAGTGTGTAGTTCAATATCATTTAGTCCATTCACAGTGTTGTACAGTCACTACTTCATTCTAGCTCTAGAACATTTCCATTATTCCAGGATAACTCCTTATTTAATAAATAGTTTTTCCAGCCGGGGATTTGCCTCAGTGGTTCTGCTGCCTGGCTTGCAAGCACAAGAACCCGAGTTTGATCCCAGGTACCAAAAAAAACAAAAAAACAAAAACCTTTTTCCATTTTCTTCCCCTCTCCTAGTCCCTGGTAATCAGTCACCAGTCTGGATTTTGTCTCTGGATTTATTGAATATTTCATATAGATGGAAGTTACCTAATATGTGCCTTTTTTATGCCTGGCTTCTTTCACATAATTTTGTGAGGTTCAGCCACCTCATAACATGTATCAGTACTAAGTGCTTTACATAACTGAATAATATTCCATCAGTGTTACCTGCTCATACATGGAATGATCAAACTATGCAGTGAATGTTTAAATTAAAAGTATTATAATAAAAGACACATTGCCATCATTCTGCATCAAAATACTCACCTCACTTTGAAAACTTATCCCATTGTTTGTTGTTGCCCCTTTCTAAAGCATTTCTGAAAGTCTTTTTTTGTCTTTACAAGATGTGATCAAATACTTGGCTAATGCAGCTATTGAGTTCCATCCAACAGAAAGGTAGGCTCCTAAAACCATTATTCACTGTATTTGGTCCTGTGCTGTTTCACGCTCTTCCCAAAAGTTGAAGTGAGCATGAAGGCAAATGTTTTGAATCAATTCAGAGCATCAGGGCAGCCACCACAGTGCAGTTAGTCACACAAAATAAGGCCTTCAGACTGTTTCAGAAAGTGGCAAGAAAGTTGGAATAAGAGTATTCCAAGAGAAGGGGAATGTTTTTAGGGATTTATGTCAATGTGCCTTTTACTGTAATAAATTTAAACATTAACTATAATTTTTATCACATCATACAAAGCTATATACGTTCTACATATATACAAACACATGATCTATTAAAATCTGTTTTCCATCCATCCTTTTGTGGGCATGTGGATTATCTCCACCTTTTGCCTGTTGTGAATAGTTATGCTATAAGTGTGTATGTAGTTATTTTAATGACCTGTTTTAAATTATTTGGGATCTATTCCTAGGAGTAGAATGGGGGGGAATCATACAACAATTCTGTGTTTAAATTTTTTAAGAACCTTCTAACTGTTTCCAACACTCATTGATTCTTCAGTTTGGGAAAATTTATCTGGGATATTGTCATCTCAACATGTATAGTTTGAGGTTTTGTTTTCATTTAGTTGAAAGTGATTTTACCTCTTAAGGTAACATTGGGCCATATTTGGAGACATTTTTGTATTGTCATGACTGTGTAAGTACTTACTGGCATGTAGTGGGTAGAGGCCACAAGGTTGTGTTTAGCTTTTTTTTTTTTTTGTAAGGATGCTAGTAAACATCCTATAATGCACAAAAGAGTCTTCTTCCCCCAACAAAAACTTACTACTGAATGTCAGTAGTAACAAAGTTAAACTTGATGGCGTGTACCATCAATTTTATTGTCGTTATTAGAGAATAGAGTATTATCTATTTCTTTGTATTCACCTCATAGTTCCCTAATTGTGAGACTTTTTCTCCATTAGTTTTCTTCCCTTTGGTATTAGGGGTGGAAAATGAAAAATTCTGAATTCTCAAGTGGGTCCAGTGAAAGCTTGTAAAAAGAAAGAGTACAATGACGTCTCTGTTTTTTTATATCTGTTTTGAAAGATCATTCAGTACTTTGGACAACAATAAAAACCGAGGGATGATGCAGCTGCTATAAGTTGTTTCACTATTGCATTGTTTTATACAGTTCTATTTTCTTGTCATCTTTTTTGGGGGGCCATAGTTGTGAAAAATTAATAAGTAATGAACTAAGCCCAAGGATGATGAATAGCAGCACAATTTCAAGAGGCAGGAAAAATAATATTACTAATTAATAATTAAGATCCCATAATACATCATATATTTGTAATAATGTATAAATAATATTATTAATTGCATGAGTTCTGGTCTGTTTAAAAATATAAGTAGATTTTGTTTTTTGAAAGACTTCTAGAAAGACTAAAAGTCATAAAATGTCGGTCCTCAAAGTTAGTACTTGAAAATGAAATCTACAGACAAAATTTAGATATAGGGGTTAATAACTATGCTGTATAGCTGCCTGGGATGATAAATCATTCTGTACTCTTAGGAAATCAGTTTTAAAACTGAGGATATAGGTGAGTGGTAAAAGTGCTTACCTAGCCTGCTTAAGGTGCAGTACCCATCACCCCTACCCCCAAATCAATTTTGATTTCCATTTCATTTTTAGAAATTTTGTTCCTAAGGTTTTGGTATAAAAATGTCCTCCTTAATTCTCAAAATAATTGTATCTTATTTATTCTTTTTTTAGGAGACAAAACAAAAAAAAAACAAAAAACCTTGGAAAAACTATACTTGCCAAAATTAGCAGGAGTTTAAGTTAAGAAGAAATTTGTTAAATTCAACAAATTGAAGTGTGACACCTTTAGAGTTACAGATACTGAACAGGTGAGGTTTAAGAATGTATTTTACGACTGGGGATTTAGGTCAGTGGTTCTACCACCTGCCTTGTAAGTGCAAGGACCCGAGTTTGATCGCCGGTAACAAAGGAAAAAGAATGTATTTTACTTTTAAGTATGATAAATACTATGAAAATGTATTTTTTTAACAGTCATAAGATTATGAATATGTGTGATAACCAGATTTTAAGAAATTGTATGATTTAGAATATTTATCACTATATATTTCATTTCCAAATGTTAGTATTTTTATGCAATTTGGTCATCTTATCTTAAATGTTTTTAATTTGTTAAATATTTTTTCCTGTTTGCTGAGACATCTAGTTTTACTAAAAACACAAATTTGACCTGCCAGATTTTCTTTCCCTCTGCTCCCCACATTGCTCATGTATATTCACAGCATCTGGAGTCTGTGTAAAGTCATCAGAAACAACACAGGGAATAGATAAACTGAACACAGCTGGGAATCAGCTTTTGCCTAAAATACATAACAAATATATATTCTATATTGTTTTTTCTTGTTGGTTCTGTATGTTTGTATGCTTGTAATGTTCCAGAAGAAAGTTTCTATTTCTTTGATAATATATTCTAGAGAAAAATTTTTTAATATTTAAAAATATACAGGATTTTTTTTAGTCTTCAGCTTTTAAAAAGTGCTGCATATTGAATATCATATTTAAGTTGAGAAATTTTAATGAGAATGTGATGGAGATTTTGTTTGTAAATGTTATTAGAATGAATTAAGTTTATAAAGTGGAAATTTTGTCTGGACTGTCAAGTTTTCATGCCTTTTAATTTTTAAAGATGAATTTATCTCTTGTGAATCTCACAAAAGTTGAGTGAAACAAGCCAAGTACAAGAAGTATATGATTCCATTTTTATAAAATTTAAAAACCAAAACGAGTCCATGTTGTTAGAAGTTGGAATTCTACCTTTGCAGAGTACTAGAACGAAAAGGGGCTTGAAAGGCTGAGATATGGATAATATTCTCTTTATCTAGGTAATGGTTATTGAATGTCTTCATTTTGTGAAGAATTCATAGCTGTGTTGTTTTTGCATCTCCTTATGTATGGATTTGAATAAAGTTTGCAGTATTATTATAGTTAAATATTAAGATTATATTATTACCGATTCAACAAAAATGACTGGGTGAAAATGAAATGATCATAAGTACATTATTGAGTTTTAGTTTGTATAGAGTCCTCACTAATAAAATGGATAGATGATCCACTAGCTCTTAATTTAGAATATAATTTAAGGCAATACCATTTTTCTAAAACATACTTGAAAGAGGAATTTTAAGGCATAGTAGCTATTTTCAAGTGGAAAAAATGCTTTGTTTCCATTTCTTGATGACTTATTTGTAATTCTATTAATCTTTATTTTTATTTAGCATTTATTTGCTGTTGCAGTGCGAGGATCTAAATCCAGGGCAATTTTTATAATTTGATTACTTCATTTTGTATATTTGAGGCTAAATAAATATGCTTGCAGTATCTTTATTTCTTCTCTGAGTGTCTCATTCTTATAATAGCAAATATTGAAAATAAATCAGATTAGTATTTCAAATTTAACTGTCTTTATATTGATTAACTCTGAAATTGTAATTAAGAGTAGCAGCTTGGTGCTATTCTTCTTGGTGAAGAAGATACATAAATCAACAGTATCTGAAATAACAGAAAATATCTGGTTAGATTCTAAAACACTATCTTAATGCATTTAATGTTTACTCTATAGTATTTCTTTTAGTATAATGAGTTCATTTTTAAAAAGCCTTTGATGCTAATTCAGAGATCTATAATCTGCTCACAATGTCTTTCACATGTAGTTTTGATGATAACTGACAAGCTGTAAGTTAATTAGCACAGAACTTACTAATGAGGATGTTAAAATTTAATTTAAAAGTGAGGATTTTTATTTGTATACTCTGGACAAATTGAAGGAAATTCAATCATACATATGATAAGCATTTCAGGCACTTTTTCCTCATTCAGGTACTATATTAGATAACAATAAGCAAATATAATTAACTTAATGATAGCAAAGTTTTGAAAGTATGCTAAGATTGCTTGTCTTTAAAACTGGGGATAACCCAAAACCAAAGCAGTAAAATAAGGTCTGTTAATTAGCATGGAAGACAGCTTCTTGAATTAATATGTGGTGTTAATTAACAGGAAGTCTGATGTTGTGTTGTAATTACCACCAATATTTTTGACATACTGAGTGACTGAAGGTGAATTATATAGATAGCAATTGAGTAAACACTTTTGTACTTAGAAACGTTTTCCTTTGTTTCTGTTTTATAGAAATATGGACAGACTTCTTAGACTTGGAGGAGGTATGCCTGGACTGGGCCAGGTTAGTATGTAGACTCTGAGTATTTCTTTGTGCATAAACTATAGATTTTTCTCTATTGAAAGAGAAAGCAATCACTGCAAAGAAAGTCACCCAGTAGATTACCTTATGGTAAGATTCTTACCTTATTGCCAATTGTTGTATTGCAACACCAAATAACATATGGAAAACATTTTTTATTATCTTAATTTGCTTTTCTCTTGGGAATGAGATTTTTTTGTTTCCTTGATTAAAATTTTGGAATATGAAATATAAACTTGCCCTTTTGAAAAAAAAAGAACTCAAAACATCTTTAAGTTTACTGTATAAATTTTAGATGTGACACGTGAAAAAATAAACATGATATACTATGCTAGATTAAAAAACTAACCCTTAGATTTTTTTTTTGTATATTCTGTCTTGTCTCATAAATTCCTGCTAGTAATTACAACACAAAAGATGTATTGATAAGCAGTATTTCTTTTTTCCTTAAATTTGATGTATAGTTTCTTTTACATTTTTATTAAAATTAAACAAATTTTCAATTTTTTTGTTTATTTTGTGCCATGCTTTTGGCAAATGCCCTCTGTCCTCTCTGCTTTCAACTGAAAAATTTCTGCCTCTTCTAAATTCTCATTATCTTTCTGGTTACACATTTACTCAATAGTAAGAAAAATGGTGATTATATATTGTTTCCTTCCTGAATCTTCTATGTAGTATATTGTTTTATGACTAAGTATTAGAAATTTGTTTTGTTTTATGAGACAAGGCCTTGCAGTATAATCTAGGGTGGGTTTGAATTTGTTATATACCATAGGCTAGCTTTGAACCCACAGTGATCCTCCAGCCTTAGCCTCCCAAGTGCCGGGATTACAGGGATGTGCTATGCTTGGCTAGACCTTTGTAGCCCTTTATATAACTCATCTTTATACCCCTGTTAGTACCAGCTTTTCCTCATTTCTAAGTCACTATCAATGACTTTGTCTTCCTTCATTTACAGTAAGCTGTATTTACCTTAAAAAAACAAATTTGTTTGAGATTTAATGAAATTTTCTATATTTTAGAAGTATTTTTATAAGAATCTGATTAGATCTGTCATGGTATATAGTAATAATTCCTTTTAGAAAGATGAAATCTATTTGTGATTCTGCATTGTGTACTTGAATAGAGTTCAGTTATTTAAAAATTTTTTAAGTTTTGAATATTTCTTATGTTTCTTTGCTCCACAGTTTCTTCTTGATTTTTCATTTTGTAATATCGGTTTAATCTATCCTCTGGCATATAAAAATGTCAAATGTGAACTGAGATTGTATGTAGATACTACAACTTACAAATTATAGGTAAAGACTAAGATTCTTTTTATTTATTTATTTATATTGTTTGTTTGTTTGTTTGTTTTGTCACAGAGTTCTTATTATATTGCCCAGGCTGGTCTTGAACTCCTGGGCTCATCTGTTTCTACCCCTTCATCCTCCCAGGAATGGTACTATAGGCATAGGCCACCATGCCTGGCCTTAGTTGCATCATAGTTCAATACCAAAAAAACTTTACTTAAGCATGAGATAAATTATGTACCCACCTTGTAAATCTGTGCTGGAAAATTGCAAGGCATGAAATAATGACCACAAGTTATGTTATGTTGTGTGTGGTTCACTACTGTAAAACTTTATATTAAGTGGAAAACTAAATGTTCACTAATTTCTCACTGATTCTCATTGTATTAATTGGCTATTGTGTGTTCAGTTTGTACTCTTTGAAACTTAAAAATATGCTGCTTAAGAAACTTAAGTTTTTTTATATATGTATTTTATCTCCCCAGTTAGTTGACAAACTCAAAATAATAACTTGAAGAATTTTTATCTTTGTGGCATCTCCCTTATCAAATACTGGGTGATTAGATGATCAGAAATATTTTCCATAAAATTTGATCTTAGTTTGTTCTAGGACTAACTTGACAAATTCAGTATTATTTCTGGAACATGGAATATTAAGTGTATTGTTTCTGAATAAGTATATATAGTAAGAAGTCTTTTTTTCTTTTGCAATGCTGGGAATTTCACACATGCTAGACATGCTCTACCACTGAGTTACACCCTCAGCCCCATAAGAAATCAAAGATCTTTGAATTGATAGTAGCTATCTTTTCATTAGCTAAGGTGTAGCAAACAGTAGTAGTAGCAAAGGAGACACATGTTGGTCTGTTCCATCAAAAATCAGTGGGAAATGTTAATCTTTCATATTTTTTTTCTTTTCTTTTTGGTACTGGGGATTGAACTTGGGACCTTGCACTTGCAAGGCAGGTGGTAGCACCACTGAGCTAAATCCCTGGCCCTATTTCATTGATGGAAAAGGCAAGTTACTTGCTGATAAGTAGTTTTGCAGTAGTTTGGCCCTTTTAAAACATGGGACTAATAGGATCAGAGCATGTAAGGGCCTCATATAATTTCTTGAGAGTTCTTGGTAGTTATTTAACCTTAAGAGTTGAATAGACTTTTGTCCCCTTTCAAGAGTTTTTTCCCCCCTTAATTAAAGTATAAGAAGCATGGCTATTTTATGAGTGAATGGGCCTTCTTAAATCACTGTTGATAATAATAGGCTTACTCGGATGAGTGAAATGTCCAAGACTCTTTTCATAGCATTATTTAGCAGTTACTACTTAATTGATTTACAGGCATTTTGTGTTGTTCCCAATTGAGTACATTTCTGATGACAACCAGGAGTTGGTATCAAACCTCATAAGTTAAAGGCTTTAGTTCTGTACCAAATTGCCCTTACTTCAGATGCCAGCTGTAGTTCACATATCTCCAGGATGCTTTCCCTTTTGACTGACTAGCTGGTTTTTGGAAGTCACCCTAACTCCCTCAGGTTCAGTAATCTACAATAATTTAACTTAGAGAAAGTACTACACTTATGATAACATTTTTATTATAATAAATACAGATACAGATGAGAAGAATCAGCCAGTGAAGAGACACATAGGTCAAAATCTGCACATCTTTCAATTCCAGCTGCTTCAGTGGAACCTCAGCATCCAGAGTGTTTTTTATGGTTTTATGGTTGAGACCAATCTTTAGCTTCCTTTCCCTCCTCTGAAATAGACCTGCTTAATACTAGTAGTCGCAAACCTTAATCATATGTGGTCTTTGTGGTGAACAGCTTCCACCTAGAAACCTTCTTGGAGCTCATGCAGAGTCACTCCTTAGCATAACAAACATTTAAAAGGGTTTTGAGGCTTTGAGCCAGAAATCAAGAATAAAGACCACACAACTTTTATTTTCAGTCTTGACTCCATTATTTATATGGAACTAATTCAACCTTTCATTAGTTTTCTTGTTCTTACTTACATTTTATTTATTATAACTCCCAAGTCCTCACACATCTATAGATTTTGTGTATATTGAGTAATCAGTGTTTTGGTTTCTTTCTGTAGGTGCTGGGATAGAAATGTTTCAGTTATTTGTTTTAGGTCTTGGTCTGATGTTTTGATTGAAAGATTAAATTAACATAGCAGTGGAAAAAATTCCTGGAAAAAGAAATAATACAATTTTCATGGATGAGTAGTCTTAGTGTCACATACCAGTCCTCTCCAGTTACAAAAATACTTAAATGTTTACCTGTGGCCAGATGTATGTTACAACATTAGGCAACAGGGAAAATGAATGAATTAGCTTGTATATAACAATATGTATAACAAGCCATATAAACATTATAAGAAAAAATATGCAACATGGAGGCATTGGTGTAAATCTTAAAAACTCAAAGTTACACTCTTTTCAAGGATACATAACTTTATTTTATTTATTTTGTTCTGTGCTGAGGCTTGAATCTAGGGCCTTGAGTAAAAGTATTATTACAGGTTCCATAGAAGCATTGTTCGATACACCTTTCTGCAATGATATAAACATTCTATAGCTGCATTAATACAGCAGCTGTTAGCCATGTGTCTGTTAAGCACTTGTACTATGGACTCTGTGAGATACACCTAGTGTAGTGATGACAACCTGTTTAGAGCTTTCAGTGATACAAGTAGCCCAGTGTAGCACGTATGCCATAGATTCACCACCACTGACCTAGTGTTACTGGGGGAGGGAGAGGATGGAAAGCGGATGAGAAAGGAATTAAGGTTTGTTATATACATATACCAACTTCACATAAGGCATGAAAGTAAACATTATGTATTACATGTAATAATAAAATGTTTTTAAAAGAAAGAAAAATAATCTCAATTAAAATTTTAAAATTCTGAAATAGGCATTGTAGCTAGTGGTTCTTATATTTCACAGCTCAAGCCTAGATGGCCCACACCAAATTCATGAGAAGGGAGACAGACAAAAGGAATGCCAGCTTCATATATAATGTTCTCTCTTTTTAATGCACAAATCATAGACACTAAGTAACATTAAATGACCTTTTTTTTAGTAGTACTTTTTAAAACCATCAGGTCAAACCAAATCAAATTCATTTGAATTTGCTTTTCAGTACTTTTTCTTATGCCTTACCTAGGTATTCCATATTCTTTCCTACATCTTGGATTTGAATGGGAAAATGCTAGAAAGCTTGTAGAGACTAGTTCTCACCAGGCCTTATGGTAGATTCTGTTTTGAGTAAGTTGGGAAGCAATTAGATTGCTAGGCAAAGGAATTTGCTTATCAGCCTTAACATTTTTAAAGAACCTGGATACTCTGGAGATGAGATGTAGGAAGCTAAGAATGGACACAGACAAATAGCTGCTACAATAACATTTTAAGGTAAGTTAGATTAATGTGTTATATTTTTGTTTTGTTTTGGTACCAGAGATTGAACTCGGGACCTTGTGCTTGCGAGGCAGGTGGTGGCGCCACTGAGCTAAATCTCTGGCCCAGTGTGTCATATTTTTATCAACTAGAGAAATTCTGCTGTGGCATGACCTACTGTAGATTACTGTACATGATTAATATTTATATTATACCTTTTACCTTTGAAATAGAAGCTTTCATTTTGCTATAAGCATCAATGATCAGAATGAAAATGAGCTGGGTTTTAGA